GGGCTGTACAGTTTACACTCATCTACAGACCAGGACTCTACAGTTTACACTCATCTACAGATCAGGACTGTACAGTTTACACTCATCTGCAGACCAGGACTCTACAGTTTACACTCATCTACAGACCAGGACTCTACAGTGTACACTCATCTACAGATCAGGACTCTACAGTTAACACTCATCTACAGATCAGGACTGTACAGTTTACACTCATCTACAGACCAGGACTCTACAGTGTACACTCATCTACAGATCAGGACTCTACAGTGTACACTCATCTACAGGTCAGGACTCTACAGTTTACACTCATCTGCAGATCAGGACTGTACAGTTTACACTCATCTACAGATCAGGACTCTACAGTTAACACTCATCTGCAGATCAGGACTGTGCAGTATTGTTAGCAGGAAGTTATGAACATGTTATAAGGAGAACTTCGACATGCTGAAACTTTAACTGGAATTCATATTTGTTTTTGTGTGCTAAAGAACATGTAAAGGGTTATTTAAGGTCTTTAATATTTTGAAGAGCCATTCATTTCTTATTTGTACAAGTAAGAGCTAATTTATGCTAATTTTATGCCTTACGGTGTTTTCACAATAAAAAGTCTAAGGAAACAAATAAAGTAACATCATGAAACATCAGTACACTTTCATTGTTGTCTGGCTGCAGTTTGTTACAATTAGCATGACATCATCTTCATCATCATCATCATCATCATCATCATCATCATCATCATCGTCATCTAAAAGGACAGTTACAACAGTTTTCCATAATAATTTCTGTAATAAATTTATTAAAGGACAGTGTTTTAGTTAAAACATGAGGTCACCACTTTTAGAGCGTTTTCCTTTTTTTTCCCTCAGTTTTTGTTAAAACCAGATCAAAGTCTGTTCATTCTTACCTTCTTATCAAATAACGCTACATCCCCAGGTTCCAACGTCATGTCATCATCCTCATCGTCGTCATCCTCATCTTCATCAACAGCATCCTGTGAAGCACTGTGGGCGTGTCTGAATGTTGTTTCTGTTGTAAAAGGATGAGCAAGTGTTAACGGAGCTGAGACCCACAAAGACCCACAATAAACCACATCAGGTTTTCCCTGAGAGGATTTTCTTCATGAAGTTCAAACGTTAAGGTGTCAGCGTACCCACTCTCCCTGGTTGACTGACTAGGACACTGAGCCGGGGGTCTCTGTTGATCCTGGGAGACGACAGGTTCCAGGGTGAGAACTTGGACCGTGGTTTGATCTGCCCGTTCGGCATCTCTTTCTTCTTGAAGCACTGTCGGTTCCTGCGATCTCGGTTCAGACTAGCAGTGCTCCCGCTCCAGTAGCCCTCCTCTTCTTGCACATCCAGGCCGTCTTGTTTGGGGGGTCCTCCTGCATTTGCAGAGGAAGAGGAGCAGGAGGAGGATCCGCCGGGGGTCTCTGAGTCCGAGTCTGCGCTGAAGCTTTGAAGGTTCCCCAGTTCGTGTTTCTCCTCGACGCTCAGCTGGAGCTTTCTCAGGGACTGTTTAGGATGAGGGTCTGGTTCTGAGACTGCAGATGAAGAGACCTCTGCTTTCACCAAAATGGTTCGAGGTTTGGCAACTGGGGTGGAGAGCTGAAGGCTGGGAGTTTTCTGACGAGACAGGCGTGGCTTTGGGACTGGACACGGACTGCTGTCCTCAGTTGGAGATTCCTGTAGTTCTTCAGGTTCTGCTGCACGCTGAGCTGCAGGACCACAGTCCAGAGTGAAGAACTCCTCGTCATCTGATGGAGAAGGTGTTTCTTCATCGTCACTAGAAGGCCCGGCCTCTTCGTCTGTGTCTGCAGGGTTTTCTTTGCTCCCCTGAAAAACACAAACATAATGTTTTAAACCAGCTTGTGATTGGACAGGTCTGAGGAGTGTTTTCACCCACCTCACAGGATGTTCTCAGCAGCAGTTCTTCAGAGTGCAGCTCACAGTAAAACCTCCCTGTAACAATCAGTCACATACAGAAAAAGATCAATAAATTAAGATAACTTTAAGTCAAAGTAACACAGCACTGTAAAACTGCTACAGTAAGCAGCAACATGCAGTCTGAGGAAGCGTCAAGAAATAAATTCATGTTAAATATTATTTGTTTTGTACATCTTCCAGCCATTTTAATCCCTTTAGCAACAAAACCACGACTGTTTGTTGTTAAAATAAAAATTCTTCCAGGAGATTTATCCATGAAACTGAGCTGTGTGAGCATGGTGATGTGCTTATGTGTTTTTTATTTTATACAGAGGAGGCAATGCATTTCATGTATATTTATTAACCATTTATTTATCCATCAGGCAGTAAACTGTTAAAAAAAGAGGTGAGGCAGGCAGTACTTCTGCCTGACTGAGGGGGGCTCCTGTGAGCCCCCGGCCTTATTCTTTATCCTCTGTTCTTCTGTCCAAACTACAGTGTGTGAAATCCTGACATGTATCCAACATGAGCCCAGGTGTCTGCTGTTTGCTTCAACATCAGTAACAATCACTAAGAGCTGCTTCTAAAACATTTATAACTCAAACATCCTCTCATTTAAAGATCTGTTTTATTTCCAGGGTCGCCACACAAACCAGTGTTTCCCCTAGGAAACTGGTCTTGGCTTTGATACGTTTATTTTAAAATAAATTATAGCAGAGGAAGTTCTCTGAACAGAAATTTTTTTTTACTGTTTTTTTAACCAAACTGACAAGTTTCTGCAGTAAAGTTATTGTGTCATTTAAAGGCAGTGAAACACCTGTTAAATTTAGAGGATATTATGATTAACTACAAACATCTGAAGCTGACTCAGAGAACTCTGGGATTTTAGAAACAATAAAAGTCAAATGTAGACACGTCTTTAAAAGACCCTCCTCCTCCTCCTCCACCACCCCGCACAGCTGAGGTCAGCGCACCTCTTCTCCACCCGCATGATTAATACTGATTTTTTGCGCAAATTATAAATTTATGACGCTCATTAAACACATTAACTGTCTGAAGGGGTTGATGTGTGAACTCTTCAGTCCCGGGCTGGTTGGAGCCGAACTGCAGGTGGACAGGTTCAGCTGCAGGTGGACAGGTTCAGCTGCAGGTGGACATGTTCAGCTGCAGGTGGACAGGTTCAGCTGCAGGTGAGCAGGTTCAGCTGCAGGTGGACATGTTCAGCTGCAGGTGGACAGGTTCAACTGCAGGTGGACAGGTTCAGCTGCAGGTGAGCAGGTTCAGCTGCAGGTGGACATGTTCAG